TTTTTTTTTTTTTTTCAATTGCAATTTTAGCTATGTAGTTAAAAATCAAATGTTTAGTATATTTTGATAAAAGTAGATAAGATATAATGATATATAGTTAAAAATTTGAGCATTTTCAAAAGACTCTTTAAATTAACATTTTAATTTTGAGACAACTCGACTCTCCAAATTTAGAGAGAAACTCATTATCTATAATTAAATACATTCAAATTATTTCAATTTTAAATGGATGAAAATAATATAACAATTTGGAGGAAACCAGTGAAAATAAAAGACAGTGAAAAATAATAAATATTTTTTTGGAGTAATAAAATTAAGTGTTGGATATAAAAAACTTGTTGGAGTACTTAGAAATTATACTCTAAATTTATAGATACTTTCTAAATTGTGGAATGTGCTCTTTAAAATTAAAGAGTCTATTAGAGATACTCTCATAAAATATATGATAAAATTAAGTCCCTGATTGATAACATTATATCAAAACTATTTATTCTACATACTTATTTTCAACAATACATTTATACAATAAAATAGTTTGCATGTAAATCCATTTTTTTCCTAATTTTTTAACCAATTTTCAAAACTCACTATTCAAAACTTTGTTTTTACCAAATAATGGTCATCAAACAGGGGTAAATGTTGTCATTGATTGAAATCTTTAGCTAGTTTTTAATTTACACCAAATAGGGGCTTAATAAGTAATTACAATTTGTGTTATTTTATTTTGTTGCATTTAATTTGTCTCATTTTTTTCAATTATTAATCAATTGGATTCTTTTCTTTGAATTTTGTCGGTTTAAGTATCATGTTGTTATTGAATAAAATAATATCACGAGTGATGTTATGCATCTAGGTTATTGATGGAGACATCTTAAATAAATCATTGTCCTTATATTTAAAAGGTTAATTCATTTAATACGTTTCATTGACACTTATTAGCAATATAAATGAATACTAATTAGCAATATAAATGAATAACATTTAGCGTTATTCCGAAGTTATTTATCTAGAGTGATGGTGATCGTTTGTGATGTGGCAGTGGGCATTATAAGTTTGTCCAATGAAATTGGAATGTAATAATGATAAGATTTTAACTTTTGTTGGATCTAAGGCTAGGTGCGGGTGTAGTAGAAATTGTATTGGCGCTTTTTATTAGAGTTAATTGTCTCAATAATAACTAAATTTATGTATGTGTTACTCACTAAAGTTTCAGACATCGAGTTTTGATCACTAAAGTTAGCAAAATGTTGAACGTTACTAATTGATTTGACATCCGTTTCACAACTTAAAACATGACAGACAGAATGTATACGTGGCGTCCAAACACCGATATACAAATTGTCGCGTAAGAAAGACATCTTTAATTGCTCACTGTACTTTGGAAGACATATTTGACTGTTCACCGTACATTAAGGTGATCGAGTTTTGGTATCTAAACTTGTACAATTTAAGCTTGCCTGTCCTAAAAATTTAAGATGTTGTTCAAAGTATCATTTGCATACAATATGGTAGGTTTTAGGTGTTTTGTAATTGACAATCCTGTAAACAAAATGATTGAATTGTA